CAGGCAGGAGGCCTTGCCTTTTCGATCGGTGTTGCTTTTGTGCTAGCCTTCTCAAGGCAAACTTGTTTAACTTATGTCTGTACTCAGATATTGTTGCTTCCGCTGACTCTTGTGTTTTTCGAGCTTATGTATTCGAGCCCTCGAGGCCCCTGGCTTGTAATATAAAGCTTGTATTGTTTTAAATTTGTGTCTAGAGTTGTGTTGTGATATCTTCCCATGAGTCCTTAATCTTGATCGTACACATTTGCGTGTATGATTAGTGTACGGTTGAATCGGGGGCCTCACAAAATGCCATGGTTGTAGTAGTGATAGAGGCAAAGGTGTCCCATCTTTTGATGAGATGGTGGCTATCATTTTGGAGGAAGTCGACTTTGACGATCCGACTATGAACGTGTGAGGATGTCGCGCCTTAACAATCGCTAAACTAACTCCAAGAGGTTATTGACCACGCCAAAGCACGATCAACCAGACCACGAAGGACTGTTTCCTGCAGGCAAACGAAGAACAAGCAAGAAACTAAGATTGCAATCTGGATATTGCGAATATAAGAGGAAAGCTTTATTGATCAATGTGGGGTTCTGTGACGCCTTTGTCTGGTCGTTGAACACAAACGAAGTACGTGAAGTTGCAGCTATGGCGAACTTTAATCTAAACAAAACCCCAAAGTCTAAACGATGCCCTAAGGGCTGTATATATGGAGGAAGAGGGGGGAATTTCGTGGCCCTTGGAGGAGGGGTCCGAAAGCAACCCTAACTCTTGTTTCCCCACACATACAGACTCTAAAAACAGCCTATACTTAAGTATTTCGAAATTACATGGGCCTGGCCCAATAATAAGGTGACGCAGCACCTAGAATAGCCTCTGGACGAAATTTATGAAGTGGTATCTTGTATATTTCGTCCAAGGCTTCATGCCCTCCTTATGGTGGCTTCAAAGTCCTAAAATCATCACTTGCAACTCTGTTCTTGTTCCCCTTGCGCATGCCATCATCTCCATGCTTGGTCTTGCTCCAGTGTTCATCCCTCTTATCCATGCCAGACCCTTCATTTTTAAGCAAAACAAATGTATCTAATTTAGGCAGCCTCGTATTCTCATGAACATTAGAATCATTACCAAGAAACGGAAGTACCTGATAATTTAATTGGTGTGCGCGAGCTCTAGTAATTGGTCTAGTATATGTAACAGTAGGGGTTGTGGGTGTAACAATGATATTGATGTCCTCATCAAGTAGCCACCTATGTAAGTAGATATTTAATTTGGTTATGCAAGCATGTCCTTATAAGTGTGTGTGTGTGTGTGTGTGTGTTGTTCTGTATGCAATCCCATCGCACAACACACACGTCTTATTAACAGCAACCGTTTGTGTTATTATCGGTATTCACACACATTTCTAATTACAGACCTGTTTGTCGCGTATCACACACATCTTGTTCATTTGAACCGTTTCTGTTCTCATGTCTCAACGCAAATAGTTCATCTGAGTGAACTGCATGTCGTATATCACACACACCTTTGATCTGGCTAACCATTTCCATTGTGTTGCCTAATCACAAACAGTTCATCTGAGTGAACCATATGTTGTTCATCGCACACACCTTCATCTGGTTGTCCGTTTCTTTTGTTCCTCCTCATCGCAAACAGTTAATTGATCTGAACCGTATGCCCTGCATCACACACGCAACTAAAATCTTAACCGTGTTTGATGCATCCTCCATCGCAAACTTTTTGCACCTTTTTTGACGGGTTTTTTACACCATCGTTTGCGATTATGGCATCGCACACAGTTTCGTCAAAGGGTCTCTGGTCGTAGTTTTCGCATTATATATAACAGTGGGTGAAATGAACCTGGTGAAGTGAAGCCAACATGTGATGCACATCGAAAGTACTACTAATCAAACTAGATCAAGTTTGGATTAGAGTAGTGCTTTCGACATGCACCACATGTTGCCTCCACTTGAATCTACTCCACGTTCATTTCACTCACTGTTATATATAATAAGTAATCATGGTCATAAAATCATATGATGAAAGTACTGTATATAAAACCACACAATGAAAATAAGCTGTATTTTTAAAAATATAGGAAAATTTAGCAGAAGCGCCTTTTAGAACAAGCGCTACTGCTATTTACAAGTAGCAGTAGCGCTCCCTTTCCAGCGCTACTGCTACTAGTTAGCTGTAGCGCCTTAGTGGTAGCGCTGGATCCAGCGCTACTGCTATGCATATTTCAAGCGCTACTACTAGGGTTTTCCCTAGTAGTGATGAGCTACCGCAAGTGCACGTACCCCATCGTTTTCGCATTTGAAGAACACCCATCCAGGGTGCTTCGGCATGCCCGAAGTTAGCCGCAGCATGTCCGTGTGCAGTCGTCGCACTGTATGAGCGGCGTCGGCGAGCCACAGAGCCGCTGCGCGAGTGCCGAGCCCAGTGGACGGCCGGACGACTCCATGCCCGCAAACCGTCGGCGGCGGCGGGAGGACGAACCCGTACCTGCATGCGGCGATGCGCCCTTGCCCGGGCTGCGGGAGATGCTCCCCGACCATTCCATCGCTTGGCGCAGCGCCCGGCGGCCGGAAAAGCCAAATCCGACAGCCTGCGATGAAGGGCCACAGATCCGCAAATTCGACGGCCCGCCGACACAGGGAGGGAGAGGGAAGGCCTCGTGCATGTGGCAGCCTTCCGGCGTGCTCCCGCCGACTACTGTCGCCGGAATCTTGGGCGGCGGCTGGGCGAGGGGAAGAGGGGAGGTGATTGGTGGGGAAAGCGCGGGCTGAAATGTCACTCCACCAACCGCTTCCGCTTATATGCAGGGCACCGCAGCAGCGAGGGAAAAATCCGCGTATTCGCAGGTTGGGCCCGAGATTTCGCCGCGCCCCTCAAAAAAATTTGCAGACCGGGACGGGATGCGGGGTCTGATCGGGTAGGTTTTCCCGCCCCGACCCGCATTTTGGCGGTTATTTTGCGGGTCGGGGCGAGATGCGAAGTTTGCTAGAGATGCTCTAACTTGATCCTCGTAGTTGTAAAGTACTTCAATATGGTCCCGGTACAAGAAAATACGTGCTTAATGTGGTCATCGCTATGCGAGCTAGCCACCAGGCCAAGTCCGTGAGTTTGTTTAATATGGGATGCATTGTCTACTATATGCATATCGTTGCCTTTAAAAAAAATCGTGAATTTATAAAATGTTCATCAATTTTTTCAAAAAAGCATTCATCGATTTAAAGAATGTTCATGATTGAAAAAATAAAAGTTCATGTCTACAAAAAATGTCCATGAATTTTTTTAAAAATATTCAAAACAATGTTTGGGAATTAAAAAAAGATTTGCAATTTTTTTAAATGTTCAATGATTCAACAAGATATTCATGAATTTAAAAAATGTTTGTCACAAACAATAAATGTTCTTGAATTTCAAAAGTTATTTCCAAAGAAATATTCGCCTATGCAAAAGAAACTTGTTGACGAGTTCCAAAAAACATGTGTGCAACTTGAGAAAATGTTCTTGAATTCAAAAAGATTCACAAATTTGTAAAAAAGCTCATGAATTTAGAAAATGTTCGCAACTTGAAAATTATGGTGAACTTTTTTTCAATTAGGTGAACAAATTTTAAATTCGAAAAATATTTACCAATTTGACTATGTATACTTAAATAGACTATGTATACCTAAATTGATTTCTTTTCTAAAAACCTAAATAGATTTCTTATAGAAAATACTACATATATAAGAAGTGCATCTCCACACATATAGCACACACATGCTTGGACGAATACACTGTGCATAGTTTGCATAGTTTGATAAAATTCCCAACAACATTCAGAAAATGTTTATTCCCATTCTAAAAATAAGTGTAACATTAAAAGGAAATACTCACATATTTCCAAATAATGTATGTGAAATTTTCCAAAATGTGTGTACAATGTAAAGAAAAAAGTTTGCGTAGTTTACAAATAATGTGTGTGAAAATTCAAATGTTTATACAATGTAAAAGAAAAGTTTGTGTAGTTTGATAAAATTCCCAATAACAATGGGCCAATAAAGTTTTTTGGAACTTGTCAACAAGTTTGTTTAGATAGGCGAACATTTCTTGAAATTGGGAACAACTTTTGAAATTCAGAAACATTTTTTGTTTGTAACAAGATAGCAGATTTGGCGTGGTGGCTAGCTCGCCCAGCCATGGGGCATAGCTTGTCGGTCTCAAATCCCCCCGGCGTTTTTTCAACCTCAGAGACCGTATTAAGCACATACTTCTTATGTGTGGTTCATGAATTTGACGTTGTGCTGGTGAAGCACTTGTAAATTGCTTGCGTAGAAGCTGTTTTGATGTCCTGTACATGGAATTCTCCAAAGCGCCTGTGATGTATTCACATTACAGTGCTGGGGCCAGAGTAAGTAAACTGATAACGTTTCAAGCAGGATGCAAACGAAACAATGAATGTGCCGTTACACTTCTGGTTCCAGTGTCACCTATTTCCCTTTGCGTTTGTCAACCAAACACCTCCAAATAGTTTCCCTACACATCACATCTCAAGCATCACATCGCAAGGAAGGTCCACCAAAACACAGCATTATAAAAAAGGAAAACACACTCCGTCTTCCCCGCACGCCAAAGCAAATAACATTTTTTTTTATGAAAAATTCCAACACCAGCTACGTGTGCGTCCAACTCTTCTAATAGAGATTAAAATTGGCAAGACACTACAAAATTATCGAGGTTATGCAATTTATTTGGTTCAAAGAAAAACAAGCAACCACAATCACATGTCTCGGGCATCTATAATTCATCAATGTACGAGCCTACAAGCACAGAATAAAGAAGAAATTCCTATATTACACAAAATACATGAATGAATTCCATCAGTTGTTCCAATGCAGTCGCGCCACTCACGGGTCTGCTGATATTCTAGAAGACGAGTTCTATACTCCGGCAAAAGGCATAACTTCATACATTAAACAACCGGCTTGAAGAAATATACAAAACGGATGTATAGTAATGATGCATCATGAGCACGCACATAGGGAAACATGCAGAGCTGAACTGACCATACCTAGCACTATGCTTGTTGGTACCAGTCCATCTGAATTAGGTGGCCCTGATTCAGAGTGCTCCGTCTTACGGCCATCACTACCTGAACTACGGTCCCCATCATCTCTGGGATGGTCATCAAAACTGTTTCCATCTTCGTGGTCGTTTGAGCTCCCGGAGCTACCATCCCGTGTGAAACCCTGGACTAGATCTGGTCTTGGTTCTACTCCAACTCGCCTTAAGTGTAGCTGCCAGTATTTTGCAATTTGTTCTTCAAAGTTCCACATTAACAAACAAATGGAGAAGGAAGATAATCAATAATACCTGAAGGTACAAATTGACCTCATCTGGACGTGACAGGAAGGGAAAATCCCCACCAGTCCTCAGTACTGCACGCTTTGCACTTGGGTACCTTTCATTCACTTGGTCCTTCAACTGCTGAGGAACAGCAGAGTAGTCGTTCGTCTGTGCATAGATGTTCACTGAACATAGTTACCGTACAAGGGATGCTGGAGTGTCAAAACTAACAGATAGGAGAAAGAATCAATCTTGGAAGTCCTTGTGAATTGAGGGCTTCAAATGCATAGATTATTATATGGTACAAAAGATTAACATGCGTTTTGCGTGACCGCCGGTTACGCTGTGCCGCACCAGGCCTCGCGCTGCTGCACCCCCCGCGATTGGACGTTGGGTGACTTCCTCCAGGCTGCCACCAAGCACCTGAACGCAACCCTGCCTCCCCCTGGTAGGCGTCCACGGAGGCAACCCCTCAACTTCTCCCCTCGCCATGGGCGCTCCACCACTGCGGCGCACATTGGGCATCATTGGCACGGGCCAGAAATCACCCCCGCCGAGATGAAAGCATATGATGGTGTCTTCGCGACACCCCTCCCCCTCGCCGTCATTTCGGCCATCGCCGCTCTAGTTGATCGAGAGATCCCGCATGACCTTGGTGCCATGCCTACCCCTCGCGCCCCTCGTCGACACTACAGCAACTTAGGCATCAAGTTCCCCCCTTCCCCCATCGATCTAGTTATATGGATCATGGCCTCAAGATCGTTGTATGGAACATGCGCGGCCTCAGCTCCCGTGCCTTCCGTTTGAGTATGCGATCTCTCCTTGACACTACCGGGGCCGCTATTGTGTGCCTCCAGGAAACGAAAATGGAGTTGATTTGCTCGTCGGTGGTTTTAGAGACTCGGTTCGGAGTTTGAAGAGTATGTGTATCTGCCTGCGATCGGCACGCGTGGCGACATTCTACTCGCTTGGCGGGGCAGGGCCGTATCTATCACAGACCCCCAGTTCCCAGTTCACCACGAACGCGATTACCGCCAAGGTGCAGGCACTCCATGGTGGATGTCCGTGGTTTATGGACCGCGGGAGGACGTCAACAAAATTGCTTTCCTCTAAGAGCTCCGTGACATTCGCCTCGATTGTGCTTGGCCTTGGATGATTTGCGATGACTTCAACCTCATATATCGCGATGAGGACAAGAATAACGGCAATCTCAATCACCGCGTGATGGGCAGGTTCCAACGCCCAATCAACGACCTAGCACTCAAAGAGGTTTACCTCAATGGCCGGCGCTATACATGGTCAAATGAGCAATCGCCGCCCACCCTCGTCCACCTCGACAAGGTGATGTGCACTTCGGATTGGGAGGAATTGCACAGGGAATGCCACCTACGATGCCTTGCGTCGGTAGTGTCGGACCATTGCCCCTTACTCCTGGATTGCGCCTTGAAGCCCATCGCTCGCCAGCGTTTCCGGTTTGACGACTTCTGGTTACGCCTTGACGGCTTCCAGGAGATGGTGCATGCTGCTTGGACCTCTGTCCACGACGATGACCCCATCAAGTGCCTCGTCCTCCACTTGCAAGCCACTGCCCGTGGCCTGACCAGCTGGAGCTCGCGCTCGGTCGGCACCGTCAAGCAGAAACTTGCAATCACTCAGGAGCTCATATCACGATTTGACCGCGCCCAGGAGGATCGCGTCCTCACGCCGCAGGAGGATTGGTTGCGCAAGCAGCTTAAGATTGTGCACCTCTGCCTCGCCTTGCTGGAGTGCTCCATTGCCAGGCAGCGCACTCGCGTCTCGACATACAAGCATCTTCCACCGGCAATGTTCCTACCGCCGTCAAAAGAACACAGTCCACAGCCTTGTCACTGGCAACCGCGTGCTCCTCGACCACACCAACATGGCCGAGGCTGCTTTCCAGCACTACGACGACCTCCTCGGGACTGTTGTTGATCGCGACCAAACCATCAACTTCGAGCTCATTGAGCCCAGCAACCTGATCGATTTGGACGCGCCGTTTAGCGAGGATGAGATCTGGAGCGCTATGAAGCACCTGCCCGCGCGCAAGATGCCCTGCCCGACAGATTTACCGCAGAGTTCCTCCACGCGTGCTGGAGTATCGTCAAGAGCAACTTCGTTGCAGTGTTCCAGCAGCTCTACGACATGCACAGTCGTGGCTTTCACCGCCTGAACCAGGCCCTGCTAATGTTGCTGCCTAAGCGCGCCGACACCAGTACATTGGGCGGCTATCGTCCAATTAGTCTCACTTGGTCGTGAAGATCTTCGCAAAGGTTCTCTCCCTTCGCCTCACGCCCAAGCTTGACAATTTGGTGAGTCGAAACAAGAGCGCGTTCATCCCCGGCCGCTGTCTTCACGACAACTTCGTGCTCGTGAAGCAAACAGCACGCCTCCTGCATCAGTTGGGCGCACCCCGAGTTATGCTAAAGCTCGATCTGACCCGCGCATTTGACTCGCTCTCATGGCCCTTCGCCAGTATGGCTTTGGCGAGAGATTCCTCAAGTGGCTTGCGATCCTGCTCTCCTCGGGCAATACCAGGGTCCTGCTGAACGGCGAGCCAGGGCCCTCGATCTGGCAGCGCTGTGGATTGCGCCAGGGTGACCCCCTCTCGCCGCAACTTTTCTCCTTGGTTGTGGACATCCTTGGGTGGCTGATCAAGCGCGCCATCGACGACGGCATACTACAGCGACTCCACCCTCAACGGCCAATACATGCAATCTCGCTATACGCCGACGACGTGGTCCTCTTTTGCCAACCATCGCCAGCCAACCTAGCTGCTGTCAAGGGTATTCTGGAAATCTTCAGGAGAGCCTCTGGCATGCGAATCAACTACGCCAAGAGCTCAGCGACTCTGCTGCACTGATCCCAAGGAAGCTGCACCTGTGGTCGAGACACTTGGGTGCCCCATAGTCGAGATGCCCTTCTCCTATCTTGGGATCCCACTTACGTTGTGACGCCCTACTGCCGCGCAACTCCAGCCATTAGTGGATCACACTGCTGGCTGCCTCCCCTCCTGGAAAGCCCACCTGATGAACCGCATGACCGTCTCGCCCTTGTCAAATCCGTCATGGGCGCGATACCGATACACCAGCTCCTGGTGTTCACCCCGCCTAAGAAGACTCTCAGACAGCTCAAAAAGATACAGCGAGGTTTTCTCTGGGTTGGACGCGCCGCCGTTTCGGCCACTACCACGTTAATTGGCGCCGCGTATGTCGCCCCCTGCCCCGGGCGACCTGGGGGTCCAGGACCTGGAGCGCACTAGACTCTCCCTTAGGCTGCGTTGGCTTTGGTTCTCTCGCACTAACAACACCCGTGACTGGTCTGCTCTTGACATGCAGTTCTCCGCGGAGGAATAGGTCATATTCTTTGCGTCAACCTACATGATGATTGGTGATGGGCTCACTGCCAAATTCTGGGAAGACCGCTGGATTGATGGGCGTTCGATCAGCGAAATTGCCCCACTCCTATACGCGTGCATCCCCAAGCGGCGCAGAAAGCACAGGACCGTGGCTGAGGGCCTCCATGACCATGGCTGGGCCCGTGACATTTAGGGTATCCTTAGCGTGCACAAGATCGGGCAGTACTTCTTGCTTTGGCAAAAGCTCAAGGGCCTCACGCTCATTGAGGAACCCAATCGCCTAATCTGGAAGTGGACCTCGAGCGGCGTCTACACTGCGCAATCCTGCTATCGCGCCTCCTTTGGCTGTGTCCTGCGATGCATGGAGGCTGATCTGGAAATCTTGGGCACCCCCCAAAGTGAAGTTCTTCCGCTGGTTGGCGAGCCAGGATCGCTGCTGGACGGCCAACTGCCTCACGCGGCGTGGCCTACGGCATCCTCTCCGGTGCCCCCTCTGCGATAAAACTATGGAGACAATCCGTCAGCTATTGCTCGAATGCCTCTTCTCTCGACAGGACTGGCATGAGATATTGGCTTGGTTACGAATGACGACCAGTGCCCAATGAATGAAGCCTCGCTGAAGGATTGGTGGCAGCAAGCAAGGCAAGACACCCCCAAGCCCCTTCTCAAAGGCTTGGCCTCCATCGCCCTCATGCCATGGGTGATCTGGAAGCCCAGGAACGAGTGCATTTCGACGACAATCTGCCGTCTACCCACTCCCTCATTACGAATGACGACCAGCGCCCATTAGTTACTTCCGTGTACTCCGTAACCTACCTCCTAGGAGGATGGTAAACACAAACTCTCTCTTTTCAATGCAATGAAACACAAGTCTTGTGCGTTTTCTCGAAAAAAAGATTAACATGGTTTTCTAAGCATAAGAGTCAGAGAGGTTAGGAACTGATTTATCAATCTTAAATTAACCAAAGACCACAGCAAAAACTCTCATAGGCAATCGTTGGATTGAAGTAAAAATAATTTAGGAAAACTTACATACACTAATCTGTCATGTTATAACTGAGTTAGGTGCTTACATCCATTATTGTGATGAATGAATCAGGTAGCGATAATGACCCAACTGATGCAACATTGACATTTAATATCAACCTTGACGAAAGGTCTTCTCTTGATAATGTCTCTACCTGGCATGCAGAAGTTCGATCTTACCAAATCATAAACTAGGAAAAATAGAAGAGCATCAAGATCCATTACGTTACTTATATTTATAACATGCCTAAGTGTTTGAACGTGATACAACCTGACCCACTACAAAATCCACAGAATCTGCAATGAATGGTTCATGTGGACCATCTCGAATTCCTGTTAAGAGATACCTCTTCAGCAAAAAAGAAGGGGTCCAACTGACACTGCAATATCACAAAGTAGTTGAGACAGAATAAATGATTATTATCTGCAGTAATGATTTATAGGCAAAATACAAACATAAAATATTAGCTAATGTTGCATTGAAGAAATGCTTTGAGATTTTATTTTCTTTTCAAAACATGCAGGAGAGCTGCATGTAATTTCATTTAAGATAGAACGGCAAGATAGGCACGACCCATACATCGCCATAGAGGCATGCCCCAACAATAGAACCAAACGACCCAAGGATTGCCAACCTAAGAATCGGCGATCCGCCACTAGAAGACCGACAAGCCCAGCCTAAAATGTGCCTGAAACAGCCAGCAATCACAACCCATACAAGATTAGAGCATCTCCAATCCCCACCCCCCACCCCTCCAGCAGGCCCCCCATTTATCGCCGGCTCGAAAAAACGGCCCAGTCGCGCCCCCAGGAGCCCAAATTTCACCGGTTAGGGCAAAACTGGCGCCGGCGGACCCAGGCCCAACCCAGCGTGCTGGGGGCCGACCAGGGGAAAGGAAAATGGCGCCAAAACTTCCCGCGCCAGATTCCCACCCCATGGGCCCGCCAAGTCAGCGACTAGCATCTTCGTCCTCATCCCATCGCCTCAGCTCCCGCGTGAATCAATGCCAAGGCTGCCACTGGTCAGCCTTCAATTGATCACGGGCGATGCAATGAAGGCGAGCTACCGCGTGATGCGGAGCATCCCAAGATCATCCTCATGGATCTACCTACGTCTCCCACGACACCACTTGGACCAATGACAAGGGCACGAGCAAAGGCTATCGAAGATAAGGTGAACTCGCTCCTCTCCGAACTATCATTTCCTATACATGAGACATGGCTACTACCTCAAGCGGAAACACTGTGTGATCAAGGACTTGGAGGAGAGCCACGGAGCGACTACACCCAATGGACAAGACGACGAGAACACCAACCGTGAAGGACAAGAAGAAGAGCTGCGGAAGAAGCCCCAGCCACCGGACGACCGGTCGGGACCGGACGTTTGGCGCTGAAGCCCCAGCCGAGCTAAGCGAGCGGACGTCCGGCCCGGACCGGACGACCGGCAACCCCGCACCCGAGCCAAACGAGCGGAAGTCCGACGTCACCGGACATCCGGCGACCGGACGACCGGCCACTTCCGGAAATCCGCTACTTCAGCATCCGAGTCAGAACGAGCGGACGACCGGCGACTACCGGACGTCCGGCCGCCCATGAGCCACCGGACGACCGGTCCCCAGCAGACGTCTGATACCTGTCTGCGCACAGGAATCGGGCCTGAGGCCCATGTATCCCCTCACTTCGTCCCCATTTGCACTAAGACTATAAATAGACCTCCTCCTCCTCCTAACTAGGGTTAGCATTGTGATAGCTCATATTAGAGATAGAGCCTCGCTCATCCACATCGGATCTACTCTTCGAGAGAGACCACGGCCCCTCTACGGAGAAGACCCCCTTGGATTCAAGACCCCCTTTTGGGTGGCCCCATCAAGACCTCCTTTGGAGAAGAACCGGTTACCGTGTATCGTCCCTTGTTGATCGTGGATCATGTATCTCCCTTTGTGTTCATGGATCTAGCGCATGTGTGATCATACTTGTTGGTTTGAGTGTTCTCTTGTGTTCCCCTTGTGATTTTCCCCTCGTGTTCTTCGTGTTCATCACGGGATCCGCTCCTTTCGTGAAAGATCAGCCATCTAGGGTTCCACCCTACATCATCTTGGTATCATGAGCCACGTTGATCACGATTTCGGAGCCTCCCTGTTGTGTTTCTACCTTTGTTTTTGTTGATTTTGCCCCTAATTCGAAAATTCCCCACAAAAATAGCCCCAAATTTTTTTTGTGATTTGTTGGTGTGATGAAATTTTGTTGGATTTGATTCGTGGATTTGCTTTGCCTTAAGTGGATCTAGCTCTCCCCTTCATCTCCACCTTTTCCATCCACTAAATCGCCCGGATTCGGCGAATTTTGACCTCTCCTTGAAGAACCCTAGTTGTTCATCCCGTGGCCGATTTTCGCCCACGCAC